TATGTGCAGCTACTGTTCAGCAACCCAAGGAATATCCTCCTCACTTTACAACTGGAGGGATTAAAGGGGCTTCCTGTCCCATGACTGACCTTAAAAGCCAATCCAGATGTCCTACAGCCCTCGAGACAAAGAACTCAGGTGACATGTCTTATCTTGAGGGCACTTGAGCTCCTCTTCTAAAGAGGCGGTTCTTTTAAGTGTCCCGTCATCCTGGCAAATGCCTTTTCAATTATTGCACAAGTTTCTCGCTTGCTTGTCTGCAAACACCGTAATTGTCCGGGAGACAGCATTATGCATTCAGAATGGCTTCAGAGGTTTTTCTGGGGTTACAGTGACACATCTCTGAATATTAGATAAAGGAAAAGGCCACACAAATAGAAGCTCAAAGAGCAGTTAATGCTCATGAAGAGATTGAGGGATTAGGTGATCCTCAGGCTCAGATTTTATGCTGAGCTCATTGTATAGTTTCTAAACCAGCACAAGACTCACAAATAGAGGACACACAAAACAAATCTGCAGAATCTTTATAAAAAATGATAAAGGATAATATTCAAAAAATTTTTTTTTTTATAAAAAATACATTATATACACTTTTTTTTTTCAAAAGTCTCTTATAGTGACTAAGGCTGCATTTATTTGAGCAAAAATGCAGTAAAAACAGCAATATTGTGAAATATTTGTACAATTAAATATATCTGTTTTCTATGCAAGCTTGTTTTTGCCATGGGATAAAAATAAAAAATAAAAGTTAACTGCAACTTTTTATCTCATAATTCTGACTTTTTTTCTCACAACTCACAAAAAAAAATCAAAGCTGATCAAATCTGAATTTTCAGCATCATTACTCCAGTCTTCAGTGTCACATGATCCTTCAGAAATCATTCTAATATGCTGATTTGCTGCTCAAGAAACATTTCTGATTATTATCAATGCTAAAAAAAAAGTTGTGCTGCTTAATATTTTTCAGGATTCTTTTTTGCATCAATGTAAAAGTCTTTACTGTCACTTTTGATCAATGGAATTCAGGCTTGCTAAACTGACCCCAGCATTTTAAATTTCCTTCTCAAACCATGTAAAATCTTTAAAAAAATATGATAGATAGATAGATAGATAGACAGATAGATAGATAGATAGATAGATAGATAGATAGATAGATAGATAGATAGATAGATAGATAGATAGATAGATAGATAGATAGATAGATAGATAGATAGATAGATAGATAGATAGATAGATAGATAGATAGATAGATAGATTTGACTGACATGCTTATAATGTAAATAATTAAATGCATTTAATAACCATATACAGTTATCATATTTTTTGATAGAGCCATCAATGGCTGTTCGTTCAATTAAACTCTTTTTTGTGTAAATTCAAGAAATATCAACATGGACAGCTTGTGTGATGAGCCCTTGAAAAACATAAACAAAGCTACTGAAGGAAAAAGGAAATACAACCCAGACTACATTAAATAGGGGTTCGCTTGCAGTAAGGATAAACATGGTTGACACCAACCACAAGGTTTGTTTTTTCCAAGTTTATGTTTTTCAAGTCTTTTTTACTGTTCAGTTTATGTTGATGCCATATTTTAATATTTAAATATATTGTTGCAGCTACACATTTCATATTAATATTAATATTTCAATTAACATTTTTGTTTCTGTTTACAATTTCAGTGCTGTTTCGAGTCGCCACTTTGGATCAAAAGCAAAACAAGACTTTCCTCATCCCACATATTTCCATTTTCCCCGGTCCTTCAAATTCCCCTTGTTCAGTTCATAACATCATTCTACCCCTCCATTTCTCCTCGCTTCTCTTCCTTTCTCAGTATAAGGCTGTCAAGAGTTTTTTTTGGGATCCAGTGAGCTGTGAAATCGCACAAATTGCTGTTGCTTTACGTCTGGCCCGGTGACAGCAAGAGAAAGAGGAGGAGGAGAGAGAAGAGAGATTTTCTGCTCCAACACTTCTGAACCTTTCCTGCCCCCCCCCCGTAATCACACACAGACACAGAAGCACACGCACAGCTGCAAAACTGCCTCACCCATAACCCCCCTACCTCCATCTCTAATCCACTCTCATCATACGAGCCCCCCTCCACCCGTGTTCCCACTCCACAACACCTCCACCACTTTGCTTTAGAATCCGGATCACTTCACTGAACAACCACACGAAGCCTGGAGAGAGATAAAACCTTCTGACATGCTACTGCATCCTCCGATAAAACCAACACTTCCACCAACTACAAGTGTCACTAGCACTAACACAGGGGGAAAGTGTGATGTTTCAGATTTGTATTTGCGCAAACATTTGTAAATAATGAGGCTGCTGGTGTGTTAATAACTAAATAAGAAACAATTCACCAAAAAAATTACATTTATTTACTCACCCCCATGTTGTTTCAAACCATTATGATGGTATTATTCTTCTGTCGAACACAAATTTATGTTAAAAGTACTAAGAGATGTTCTTTTCCACACAATGAAAGTGAAATGCTGTTGAGCTCCAAAAAGACAAAAAACACTTAATAAATAAAATTACATTAAAGTAATCAAATGCATATATAAATAAAATAAAATATAAATAAAATTGTATACAATTTTAAAATGTTAAATAAATAAAGGAATGAATTAATGAATTTTTGAGTCTGTTCTCATTCACTTTCATTATATTAAGAGTATATAGAAAGGAGCATTCTGCTAAACTTTTCCACAAGAAAAAAAAAGGGTTTTAAATTACATGAGGATGAATTTTATTTAAAATGTACCTATTTATCAGAAGTACTCTGTCAAGTGCATCTTCCAAACTTCGTGTTAATGTGTGAGACTGCCATAGTGAAGCAAGTGTAATATATTCTTCACGTATATTAGAATTCCGTATTAACTGCTACAGCAACACAATAACGCATATGGTCAGTACCGCACAATGCATTGGCCAAGTATTTGCATCTTTTGTGTGTGTTTGAGTATGTGTTTAGCTTTAGCCTAAGGCAATGGTACATATTCTGAAAGTAATCTGCTTTGACAGCTGTTTGGACGATGCTATCGACACACACACACACAAAGAAATAATCAATATTTGCGAAGGTGGAGAAATGAAGAGTTCAAACCTGAAACAGTTGTACGTCCGTGAGCTGGTCAGCTTTGTGTCCACTGCTGTTTGGTCAGATGTATACTTCTCTCTTGCGGTGGATGGGCGACACTGCAATGTCAACTTTTTCCAAATTTCCCAAAGAATAATTCTGAAGGCTGTTTTTTTTTAATATATACTTTATCTCTGATGTTCCATTTTTTCCAGTTTTTTGAAAGGACGTGTAGAGGAACACGGGGAGATTATGAAAGTACGGGCAAAACACACATATAGCCTACTAAAAAGAGGATAGTTTTGCTTACTAAGGTTTAAAGAGGTTTCAGATATTCTTACCGTTGTAAACTCAGTGTAACGCCTCTTGGCTTTTTAGTTTTCGTTAGTATCTTTTTGAACGCTTCACCTCGCCTCAAGAAACGCGCGAACCTCTTGGCGCCCAACGGTTTTTACTCTGTTTGAACATTTATCTACATTTGACAACTTTAACCTTTCTCCTTCGTGTCCCTTATTTCAATTTAAAAGAAGTTTAAAATATCCAAATGAAGTGATCCTTTCTGGTCGTTTACCGTGCAGCACAAAATTCTCCACTGGGAGGCGCTGTGTTGTGGACGTAACACTTCTCAGTGCCTCTGATCAACGGAAGAAGAGAGACGTTATGCCGTTTGCCGTAGAAACGACGAAAACGTTGAATTATAAGAGTATTATAAGAGTCAGGTTATTTGTTGGAATACTGCTGCTATTGAAACGACTTATAGGAGCGAATTAGAGCTGTTGGTTATAAACATCACGTAACCTACTGGAGTAAAACCGCATTCAATTACAGTAGGCTACATGAAGAGAAGTAACAGTTAAAAGTTAATCTGTTTCAAGTTGGCGCCTTGATACCATTAAAGCACTTTAAGAACGCACTACTGGATTTATTCAGAATGGCTTTTCTTCTACTTCTTCAGGTCTCGGAAAAATAGAGAACGAAACTTCAAGACAAAGTTTAAAATTATTAAAGAACACGAAGCAACGCAAGAAGAAAGCTAACTGAAGTAGCGCATTAAAAATAAAAAAACTAAACTTCTGCAAACATTTACTCGTCCTGATATTATCTGAAATTGACTTTGTCAGGAGCTCAGAGTCCGTGGGCACTGTTTTGTTCACTAAAGTTCGTCAATGATTAAGTTCAAAATGTATTGTTCTTGCCATTGTTGCATTGGCATGGAAATATTTTGGCCGTCCAACATACGCTTGTCATAATAGAAAGCTAGAAACTTGAGTAAAAACGTGTGTATACACGTACTCTGCACTTGTGCATGCTGGGGAGTAGGCTACTTGACAAAGACGGATTTTCACTGCAGCTTATTTTCCAGCGACTCTAAAAGCATGTGTAAGGATAACATAAACTGTAGCTTAACGTTAAGTAATCTAACAAACACAAAGAAAAACAAACTACACGATCTACCCTACAAACCTAACTACACAATTCCAAGAAAAAGAAGGAAGTCCTCGAAATGCTACAGCACCATGGACAGTACCCAACACACAGACAGAGCTCCCATGATCCGTCAGGAATTTTCCATTTATGTCACACGCCTTAAATGTATCACTATACTGTATGAGTGAGTACTGAAGACGTCTTGAAAGGCTGTCTACTCTTTTTGAATAATGTTCATTACATGCAGCCTTAAAGCACTGAATGGGTCATATCATGAGAAGTCAAATGTTCCCTGATTTTTTTCCATGCAGTTGTGGTGCAGTCATGAAAAGTAGGATATATACTGTTTCTAAAACACCAGAAAAACATATTATTCCAGTTTCTATGCAATATTGATAAAAGAAAGATATGGGTAAAGTACACCAAAGGTTTTGATCATCAGGCATTAACACTAACACACACACCATATGGGTTAATCAATCGTGTTACATACACAACCAACAATATGGCTTTTTTTTTTTTTTTTTACTTTTCACATCAATGTGGTTATATTGTGCAATCACAACTTTTGACATAAATGTTGTGTTTTGCAAAGTTTGCTGCTTCAGTAGTTGTAGATTATTTTTCCACAAGTTTCTATGGTATACTGAAAAACAATGATAAGCATATAAGTTTTA